CCATTTGCCATTATGAATGTGGTATTTACCCATAAATATAATTGTGTTGCCCATTTTACAGAATTCATCCTGTAGACTCTCACTGTCATAAAATATTTGTGTGTACATTCTATCTATGAAATTTTCAACCAGTTCTGTAATTCTTCCCAAAATTATTTAATAACTTGGGAAAAGTAAAAGTTTTCTATTGTTTTTTCTTCCATAGACCCGAAAACACATTCACAAACATCTGATTTGATTGCAGTTATAATGTGTTGAAAGAGACCTCCGTATGATGTTTTAACTCTTGTTCATAGCGAATTTCAAACTTTAATTTGTATTAGACAATACAGTTATGTGAACTATAGGTTTTTACGGTAAGTTCTACATATTTGTCGTACCGGTACATATATATTTGGCTCTTACTTCTTACACTGGTGGTGGATAAGGATAGTTCCCTCTAAAGAAGAATACTACTTGGGTTGTTTTATTTTTTGTATTTATTTTATTTCTGTCTTGCTGCTACCACATGATAATTTCCCATTTTGGATTCAATGAATGAATTAGTCAGTCAGTCAGTCAGTCAGTCAGTCAGTCAGTCAGTCAGTCAGTCAGTCAGTCAGTACCAACTTTGAATGAATATGCCTTTTTTCTACTCGTGGTAATAACTCTATCTTTCCACAAGGTGGGGCTGTATGGCCTAAAAGTAAAGAGAAACACCAACTTTTAATATTAAGATACTTGCTTGTGATATTTAGAAAGCTGGACAAGCATATTAGAAATCTCAAAATCAAATTTTAAAGTAATTACAAACTTCCAACTTCATCAAAAAAAATTTTTGAGGATAAGAACCATTAACAATCAGTTTTAAACTGAAAGACTTTTTTGCAATTGATTGAAATGATAGATTCAAAGTCAGTTGTTTTTAATTCCCCTTTATCATATTAGTACATGGTTTACTTATTTATTTTATTTCATTTTTTTAATAAAGTGAATGTTAGGTTTTGCCATATAGATTGATCAATTATACAGTTTGCTTTTTTGGTGTTATGTTAACTGATATGCAAGGAATATCTTGGGTACACCAATTAGGACAGACCTTTAGATTTTGACAGAATGTTAAATCCCAGATTAGTTAAGTCTTCTATTAATTAGTGATTGAGATCTTTTTTATTATTTCTTCAAGTCTGTCATTTTTATTTTTGGATTGTCTTGTTCCCACATTTTTTATTAACCTGATTACAAAATATTTGAATTGACTCTTGACAGGAATCGACATCATGCCTGTATTACTGTTGTCATATGGGGAGCATTTCACATTGTTTTTTTTAAGATACAATCCCTTCATATTAACCTCAGAAAAGAAAATAGAGATTTGATTTAAGCCTTTGGAAGAATTCTTTTTTTTTTTTTTTGAGAAATCACTGTATCATCTTTAAATTGACTCTTCTTAAACTTACTGTAGTATTAAATATTTATATACTTTCTACATCTTTGTCATTTATTTCAAAATTAGCAAATAGCTGCACATAGAAAATGAATAGTGTTGGTGAGATTTGGCATCACTGATTAACTGTAAAATATCCTCATTGTCCTTGTTAGGATAGTTATCATTGATGATGTGTGAGTTTATTACACCCTAATACTACCTGTCTGTTGTGTGTCAGAATGAATGTTTTCCCCAGTAGTTTATCTATTTAGGACAGTTCCTCTGTCCAGATATACAGTTATCATCTTCATTTTGTACATGGCAAAGATTTGGGAATGGAATGAGAAAAGTGTCCTTCAGCTAACAACAAAGTGTAATATTTTGATAAGGCTTGAGCCATGGATGTCTCCTCATCTGCAAATGTGTATGATGTAATGATGTGATGATATGGCAGACTGGAGATGTATAAAATGCTTCTCAAACTTTTTATCGGGGCCCACTGCACGGTTGGTAAGCGCCGCCTTCTGTAACTCAAAGCAACTTCTCTGATCTGAGTAAGGTTACAATTTTTATCAAAATCTGTTGTCATGTCCCATAGTTATTTACTGCATATACATTATGAAGTGTTATTTAAAGAGCTGGTCCTGAGTGATCTATTTTCAGGAAAAAGAACCTTTATCTTAAGCTTTCCTTTATCACCCTTTAACAATAATGTAATCAATTCAGCTTTGATTTTTTGGGATAGTGGACTCTGTTTATACACTCCAAATATGAGTTAAATGATAAATAATTTATCTCTTACCAAAAGGCCTTAAAAAAATCAGTAGATATGTTGTCAATACTGAGTGTCAATACTTTTCAACTGTTACAGATCGAGTTTGTTGTAAAGAAATCAATAAAATATTAGTTAAAACGTGAATGATTTTTATCAGCCTTTTTAAAATAACATTATACATTTTATACATTAAATTATACATACAAAGCGAGTTTGAAGGTATGCATAATTCCTCTGAAGTATCTCTAATATGTTTATGAGAGAGCTTGCAGTGGTCCGGTGTGATCACACCTGCCTAAGACTCCTGACAGAATCAACAAGTTCTTCCATAGGTGATTAGTGATTATATAGAGGCTGCAGTTGCTCAAAAATCTTTGAGGTTATTTCTGGCTTTATCAGTGAAAATACCGAGGCAAAGAAAACCTGAAACAATAGTGATGTCTTAGTGACAAGCAGCCAATTACAGCTTCAATGGAAGTTGGAGTCCGTTTAAAGAGAAACTCTTTTTAGTTAGATCACCCTGGGAAGCTGCCCTTATCCCAACCACTTAATAGTTTAAATAATGTTATGATGACTTCGCCATGATATAAATAAAAACAGAGTGAAATATGGAAATGTATATTTAAACTAGATTATTTAAAAACTGCATTTCATTATTTTATGTGATCATTTATAAGATATATTTATACGTGTTATTTAATATTTTACAAAATGTTATGGTACATTGGATTATCTAATGATGTATTGAAAACATTAATGTTACATTTAATTACTGTACATATAATGGTACATGTAGTGATTTCAAAGAAAAATGTATACCTATATTTCAATATTTTCTAGTGTATGCTTACCGTAAAGGGGCCATAACAGCATGTTGGGTCCTGTCTAAAACCCCCTATCCATAGTACATTTAGATTTATGTTCATGACATTTTTATTTATTTTCTTTATCTGTGTCTCCTTCAAACCTTCATGCTTTTTGTATTTTATGGATTTAAAAGTGCTCCCTAAACTGTGATAATGTATGTGCGACTTGGTGTTGATCTATCACTTAAAAAAAAAATGATATTAACTAAACACAGGCATGTGGCTAAGGGACAAAAAATGGAAAATGTAAAAAAAGAGGAACAAATGCCTTTGCAAGCCACAGCAAAAGAACAAGGAAAATAGTTCAGCCTTTAGATCAGTACTGTTGGTGGATACAGCTGGTCTCCCAAAGTAAGTCAAGCGGAGAGAGTTTCACATATAACAACATCTATCAATATTAATAGAACAGACTAAAAGTGTTTATATTGTAAAAAAAAAAAAAAAAAAAAGGTGTACAACAAGGTTGATGCACAAAGTAAATACATTTTAACAAAGTAAATAGTAAATAATCATCAACTAAGAAAAATGACTAATTTATCATTGGTTAATTACTGTTCTGAAACTATATATACTATATGTACTTACGGAAGAGGATTAGGGCCAATGGAAAAAAAAAAAAAGTTAACTGATTTTTAAATTGTATTTCACTTTAACATATCTAAGAATTCTGACTTTTTTCATTGTTGGAATTCAGTCAGACTTCTGAGAAAAAAGTCAGAATTCTGACTCTAATCTCAGAATTCTGACTTTTTTTCCCATACTAAACTGAAATAAAATGTAAACATCAGTTAACTTATTTTTTTTTTTTTTAGTGGCCCTAATCCTCTTCCGTATGTACTGTATGTTAATACATGTATATGACGTGAACGTACCAAATGACCTGATGCAGCGGCATCGAACAACGAAAGGGCGACAGGCCAAATACAAAAATAAGACAATCTTTTATAGAAAATTGTTTATATATAAATATTATAAATATTACTTGTAAGCTAATTACTAAATCCATATGGTCATTTATTGTATTATTTTGACTTTATGTCACTTTTCCAATTTCCTGTTACTCCTAAAGAATATGCTGCTGTGTTTGACGCAATCCCTAGTGGGTCATTAAAGCTTTTATCATCTTTACCCACACGTCAGATTTACTCAGTGCCAAGTTTTGATCCAAACTCCATTTATATTGATTATGATTGTCCTTTAATAAGTAAGAAAACAACCAACAAAAGGTTAAGAAATATTCTATTACAAGATGTTGTTTTTTCACCAGCTTGTATATTTTATTGGTCCAACACTTTTGAAAATATAAATTGGAAGTGGACTTGGTTGCTCCTTAAAAAAAAAATACTATAATAAAGTAAGAGAAATTTCTTATAAAAATTATTAATAATGTTTATTTTTGATAAAAATATATAAATGGGATTTTGACCAAATGTGTACTTTAAAAAAAAAACAATGAAGAAAAGTTTATTCATCTTTTTTGGGATTGTAATTGTAGCAAAATATTCTGGAGAGATATGTCAATTTTTTTCATCAAAAAAAAAAAAATAATAATAATCTTAACATTACTTTAACAGATAAGGATGTTTTGTTTGGGATGGAGAAATGTGAACTTGACAAAACAGAATTTTAATATGTTGTAAATAGTTATTTTTATCATTATTTATGGTAAATATCATATTCACACCTCCAAATATTTACAACAAAAAACTAATTTCCAGATTTCATTATCTTCTATTAATATCTATATAGAATCCTTAAAATTTAGTTCAAATGCTTAAAGAATCTCCTTAAAGAATTAAAACCCTAGAATATAGATTTGATTTTGAAATTTTAAAATAATTTGTTGTTGTATATGTTTGTAATTATTAATGTTTTTTATTTTTTTCATGTATGTTTTTTGTAATAAAAAAGGGCGACAGGCCTCTCTAAACTACAATACCCAGATGTCAGTGCGCGCGTCAACAGAAACAGCTAGGATGTTGCGATAATGCTGGCAGCCAAAGATTGCTGTGGTTGCAGAGATTAGACGCCTGTGTCGAAACCTCAGTTAGTTAGTAACGTTTTAGCGGATGACAGACGCAGCGGTTACACATTTGCACCAGAGACGCATACTCGTCACCGTTCAACTCGACGCTTATCGGGGGCTGCTTCGCGCTAAAGGCGTCAGCGAGCGGAAACCATATAGTTTTATATATTTATATATAAAAGGAAGCAATTAAATAGCAGCGCGGACAGTTAGCAATGAGGCAACAAACCCTCGCTGCACTTTCCTGAAGGATGGGAACAGCTTTTCAGGTCGCGCTGTCGCAGTTACCCGGAGGATACATCTCGTTTGAAGACATTTTCTTCAGAGTATAACCTGGATAACCTTACACGAAATGTCATAGCGCCTTAGCGGCTAGCACTGAGCTAGCTCGGTAACGGCTGGACGAGATGGAGATGGAGCTATTTTTCCTCAGCAGCCGACCATGAACAGCTGGCTTGCTGGTTAAAGGAGCACTTTTTTTCTCTCCCGGAGATGCTTTAACCTCCTGGGCGGTTTAATACACTTACATAACTGCTAGCTCTAGTTATTACCAACTGGCTTGTGTTGGCAGGCAAATGGGAAATTTCCCTAAAAGAATCTCACATCATCACCACAAGTAAAGAAAAAAAAGGAAAAATAGAGGTATTATTTGCATATTTTTGAGAGACCAGAATAGACTGTGGAGAAGTTTACATTGGGAGCGGAGGTTCTGATATATCGCTGCACATCAGAGGGCGAAGGAACAGCATCTTCCCTGCTGCCATTTCGACACCATGAGGAAGTTCTTTGATTCCCGTCGGGAGTTGGTGAGCTCTGGGCCTGGTTCTGGAGGAGGGGGCAGCAGCTCTGGGTCCAGTCACGCCGGAGGAAATTTCATTGGCAGAGCCTTCACGGTCGGGAGACACCAAGTCACCGTAGAGGAGATCATTGCTGAAGGTGAGACCGAGACTGAACTGCCCAGATCACATCTATTGATCCAGGTTTTTACTCTTTATTTATTTATTTTTGTTTGGCAAAGGTATCAGGGGCAGTTTTTTTTTAATTGGGCCTTGGCCAGGAACCCAAATTCAGCAAAAAATAAAATGGTCATAATTTAATTTGATGACAATAATAATAAAATAGTATATTTAGGAAAGATAAGTCTTAAGATATTGCAATTCGATTCAGTTTATTTATATAGCGCCAATTCACAGCACATGTCATCTCAAGGCACTTTAAAATTCAACCTGATCATACAGTCAAATTGATTCAAAGTTAAACCAGCTGATCGCATTGACTCATTGACTAAGGGCAATCCCTCACACTAAGCATACTTGTAGTGACAGTGGAAAGGAAAAACTCCCTTTTAACAGGTAGAAACCTCCAGCAGAACCAGGCTCAGTGTGAGCGTCCATCTGCTGAGGCCAACTGGAGTTTAAGGAGACAGAAGCAGAGATACAGAAAGAAGCAACAAAAGGCAACTGACAACCAGTTACTTTTATATTTATATATATTTAGTCTTCTCAAAGACTAAATATTTGAGAAATAATTTATAGACGTATGAAAACAAAACACAGACTATCCCTTTAATGCAGCACTTTATGATAACTTTGAATCAGATACAAAAGTAAGCATTATTACGCAACGGATCTGAAATGGCCAATTGATATCACATGTAAGAAGTGTTGCAGGATTTGTCCTCCTTAATGGCAATCTCTAGTAGGGCTGCAACAACGAATCGATAAAATCGATAAAAATCGACCTTTAAAAGCGTTGGCAACGAATTTAATCATCGATTAGTTGTGTCGCGCGATTAATGCGTCATCCGCCGCCGCCATCATCCCGGGGAAGAAAAAAAAATATGGCGGAGCGAGTCAGCGCCGCAGTTGCAGTGTTGCCAACTCAGCGACTTTTCAGACCCCTCCAGCGACTATTTTTTAAAAAAGCTACTAGCGACAAATCTGGCGACTTTTTACGGTGTCACTGGCGGCTTTTGGAGACTCTTACGTGAAAGCATGTATCGTTCCTACTCTTCTCCTACAGCGGCAGCTGCTGCCGTGGGGCGCCTCCCCCATCCCAACGCCTTTCTCCCTCTCCCACAAGAATCCCTCTCAGCGCTGCAGTCAGAGCCGCAGGATTTTAGTGAGGAGTTTACCCTCAGCGTCCAGACTGCAAATGAAGCGCGCATGCCCCGGGATTGACGGCGCAAATTGATCACAATAATTAAAATAGCCTGCGCTTTGTAAAGTGAAAAAAGTCGTAACATGCAACTTTTGTAAAAACAAATGAACATGGCACGGAAGCACCACTGTTATGACGCAGCACCTGAAAAGAAAACACGTTGGAGCCTTCAATGGCAGTGAAGAGAGCTGATCAGCAGGATGAGTAACCGTGTTTTTTTTCATTTTAAAGTGGGGAAACGTAAGTTAGTTTCTCAGGTAGCTCATCTGATGCTTTCCTTAGCTTGTTAGTAGGTTACAGACAGTGATAAGGTTGGCTTCTTATTTTACTTTTAATTTCATTTGAATTAGCTTAAGCAGCGTTTATATTTTCTTTATAAATAAATTAACTTGCAAATAATGAGGGCAAGGCTTTTAAAGTTTAAATCTTCTGGCAAAGATAAAGTAAAGAAGATCCTGCAATTTATGGAAGTAAAGCAGAATAAAATCCAGCAAGATCAGTAATATGTCAATTCATTATTTGCCACATTCCCATGTAAATATCTGTCTTTGGAGGATGTGTTTTTTAGCACCCCTAGTTCTCTCATTTTTATTCCAAATACAATTTATAATTTGAATCACAGGGCTATTTTTATCTCTAGGGTTCAGGATTTTCTCAAGTAGCAACTTTAACTGCTATACTTTCCTGTCTTAAAAGGCAGAACTCTTCTAGTCTAAAAAAACCTCATTTGTTGAAATGGGGGGGGGCTATTGTTTGAACCCCTTAGGGGCTTTTAAAAACAAAAATGCCTGTCTCTTTTTGCGCTTTATGAAACAAAGTAGCCTATATTTTGTGGATGTACAGCTACATTTCTCATGTAAGTTTGCGTAGTTTTAACACAAACATTTATTTTTCATATTGCACCAGTACAGTTAATGAGCAACCTGTACTTGTGTGCTTGTTTGTTCTGTCTAAAATGTTTATTTTGGAATGAAGAGGTTAATATAAAAAAAATATTTTGTGTCCGATTCATCGATTAATCGAAAAAATAATCGGCCGATTCATCGATTTTCAAAATAATCGTTAGTTGCAGCCCTAATCTCTAGCCTGATAAACCAGACTAAATGTGAGATTAAATGTGTAATTTAGTCTGGCCCCGATGAATGAGAAATCGGAAGATTGTTGAGAACAACCTGTTGTTTTTCAAACCATGTCTGTGCCTATTGGCCAACGCTCTGACCAATGAGCGCAACTGACTGTGACGTAGTATGCCAGAAAGCTGGTGGGAGAGTGTAAACCAGAGGTGGGCAATTCCAGTTCCTGAGGGCCGCTATTCTGCAATTTTTAAATGTGTCTTTGGTTCAGCACACCTGAATCAAATAATTAGATGATTGAGAGGACTCTGGAGGAAGTGACTGCATACTAAGGAGGTAACCGAGCCATTTAATTCAGGTGTGTTGGAGCAAGGATGGATCTAAAAGTTGCAGGATTCTGGCCCCCAGGAACTGGAATTGCCCACCCCTGGTGTAAACAAACAGCCTGTCAGTAAAACGGCGAATGCGTCCTTCTCAAAAATTAATGAGCGTAGATCCTCTTCCTGCTCACGTTTCAACTAAAATCCCAAGTCTAATCCTTCCAAAACTGATTCCAAAGCGGAGTCAAACGAGAACTGTTCAATAGTTGTTTCCACCCTCCTTGTGCTTTCTCCAGCATCGCGCAGCTTTGTCGTCACGCCCTCAAAACCCCGCCTGCTTTGCATCCAGGAATTCAAAACACATCTCTGCGTTGTGATTGGCCCGCCAGTTCTAGGGCCTGGGGCATTGTTCAAGGCTAGACCAAACTCTCAGGCAAAAATGCTTTTGGCTGCTGGCAGGTGGTACTAGTTTACTAGGCAAGGCAATCGAAGCATTTGCTAATTAAATTAGGTCAGGGTTGACCATATCATTTTTGGACTAAAGCAACCTGTTATCTTTTTATCAGTCAGCGGATTTCATTTGTGAAGGGAAAAGATGCATACTACCCCTCATTCATAGAGTAACTACAGGACTCAATGTTAACCATCGCCCGATCTCCCTGGGCAAGTAGTTTTTATTGTAGGGATAGTACAAATTTCATTGCATTTGTCCGCCGGGCAAGAGCAATGATTGCAAAAAAAATTATTTATCACTCAAAATTACTTTAAAATCACCGACATTCGATGAAAACGATTGCCGCGTTGCCGCGCCATTTTTGTTGTTTTGTACACATTCTCGCGTGATTTGAAAAAGCCGGGTGATTTTCCACCAGATGGCATGATTTTTGTTCACATAGCGGTAATTTTGATGTAGTTACCAAAACGTCAAATGGCTGCATTTATTTTGTCAGGGAAAACTAATCCTGAGTCAGTTAAAAGTCAAGGAATTCTGAAATTATGTAAGACTGTGGAAACCCTGAATAAAATAACTATGTATAATGATTCTCTAGAAAAGTCACATTATATTAATAGTATTATTTTGTATAAACATACCGTGACTCTTAAAATTAAAGTTATTCATTTGTGACATTGACTTCTGTCTTGTGATTTATCTTAAGTTTTTAACCTGTCAAATTTTTTTAGCTTTTAACATTACAGTTTATATTTTTCCAAGCACACAACAGTTTAAAGCAAAGTTTAGTTTGAAAAGAATGTGAAGGTAGGATTGAAGAGCATGTTAACATGGTAATGTGGGCTTGAGTTCATTATCTGACGCATGCATACACACACCAGGAACCTGTAAACTTAAAAAATACTGAATTACAAAAAACATTTAAAAAACAAACATGTTTCATTGATATATATTCAAAAATGAATATTAGGAACTATATTTATCAAACATTATACTGGGCAAGTAAAAATTGTTTCTGGGCAAATGAAATGTGAATGTCGGGCCAGTGGTAAAAATCCTTAACGTCAACCCCTGAACTGACACACAAAAAAACTTCTTTTGTATGTTGTTTGTGTTCACACCACCCCAAGGCCTTGCTGCCCCCTGCATGCCAAAAACACAGCAATGGTGAAGGAGTATTTTTGTCATTGTGAGTCAGATACCTCAACACCACTATAGCGTCTGTCTCACACAAGCACCACAAAGATCTCAAACTATTGTACCCAAGTGTTTAAAAACAAAGCTCTACCACAGTTTCTTACTCTGCAATTATGGGTCAAAGCTGAATGCTAGCAGGCGCCAGGCAGTTGCTTTATCCTCTTGAAATGAATGTCTAAAGCAAATATCGTCATTTTCACACTGACGAGCAGTGGTAAGCAAATTCTAACCCAGAGTCATGAGGTGAAAATGCTGATGCTGGACTATAGAAGCCTATCTGGAACTAAAAGGATAACGGCTGCATTTTCCCCTTTAATTAGTTTAATTGTTGACTCTTTGCAAATTCAGAAAAGCAAAAATAGAAAAACAAAAATGCAAATAAACAGACAGGGAATCATATGAAGAATTCAAACAACATAAGAAGAGAAACATACACTAAAATATTCTGTTTTTAAACACTTTTTACCTGCTTACATATAAACATATGCCCATAATAGTTTTCATCAAAACCCTAAATATTCTTTTAAAAATATTATTTGATTTAGTTTAAGGGTTTCTTTGTATGGTTTTTAATCCTTTGTTTTGGTTTTGCTTTGAGTGTGCCATGGAGATAAATTTAACGTTAAAATCATATTTAAAATGTCACTAAAAAGTCTGTATTTCTGTTTGTTTTTGTGACCAAAATATATTTTACCATTTCTGAGTATTGTGTATGATCTCTGACATATTGGTTATTTCAAAATAGAAATGTCTTTACCTGGTTATTTGCATCTGAATCGTATTTATATCCTAAACTGTCATTTAAGATCCACCATGCAGACTGACAGTATCTGTCTGAAAACGATGACAGAGGCACAGCTAAACTCGGCACAATGAATATGTGGCCTGAGCCGTACCAGATGGATAGGCCTCACTGTAGGCCTTTACTTTAACCCTCCGGCAATGACATGACTAATAGATAGCGCTATAAGGCAGCACCATGTGGTCCTGATCCTCCGCTCTGATGTAAGGGACAGACACTGGCAGTTGTTTGATGTAATGAGGCAAAAAGAGGCTCGTTTACCAGAACAGAGATGCAGTCTGAAAGCTTTCATGTGCAGCCTCATTCTGAATTTTCACAAAGACTAATTTTAAGCTGAAATCTTTTGTAAATCTGGCCCTGAATTTTAACTCTAAATTTAGCTTCATGATTTCAATCATTCAAGGCTTGATATCTAGTTGACAAATCTTTCTTTTTTTGGTTCTTGTAGGTGGCTTTGCGATTGTGTTCTTGGTGAAAACAAACCAGGGAGTGCGCTGTGCCCTGAAGAGGATGTACGTCAACAATGAGCATGATTTGCAGGTGTGCAAACGGGAGATTCAGATTATGGTGAGTATAGCTGTTCATTGCGTTTTGCTCCTGTGGATTTTTGTGTTGGTTAAAGCCACACATCCAGACAATGGCAAAGACAAAAGTATTTAGAGAGAAAAATACATTCAGGATGCTTTACTGATGCTGGATGTATTACAGAGAAAGTACAAATGAGCTTGTATTACATTATCTCAGAATGATCACATTGAGTATAAAAAAAAAAAAAATTAAGTACTGATGTTGTGCTTTGAACACAGGTCATAAATAAATATTTATGAAACGATTTAATGTTATTGAGTTTAAAAAGCCAATATGGTTTCCTTTTTCAACCAGCTGACTGGCAGTGTGCAATATCTGGTGGAGGAGGGGAGGCACCATGTTTCCAAACTTTCAGCCAATTAGGCATATTCACTGGCAGCTCTGTAAAAAGACTTTAGGAACCATACCTCACTGAGTGTTTGTGTAAGTGTAAAGCACATTGAGGATAAAATTTGTTATTATTTCTATTATATGACTGCTATTTAAGCTGTTTTCATGCAGTAACCTGGTATTCAGGATAATAATGGTTATGCTCATGCGTATAGCTGCCTATAAAATAAACTTTGCAGCAGTTTAATATTAAAGAAAACATAAAAAAGACATAGTTCCATAAAACTAAAATGACAAAAAGCTTCTCCAAATTAAATACTGAATGCTTTATTTGTTTAATGCTGCAGTCAAAATAAAAAATGTTATGACTAGAGACACCTTTTAATTGTTATGCAATGCTGCAAATGGGATTCATAGCCAGAACAGCTTCCCGCAGCATTCCTAGGTAATCTTATCCCACTCCCCACCAGCAAAGTCCAGCAATTCATCAGTTTTCCCAGCTTTGCTTGCTGCAACTGCATGTTTTTGAATACCATCAGAGATATTCAATAGAGTTCAAGCTGGGCAACCATAATGGCCACTTTAGTGTCTTCCAGGATGTTTTCTAAAATGAAATCTTGGCAGATTTTCAAAACTATTGTCCGGTTTAAAAGTCTAATGGAAGCTTCAGCTTCCCCACACGCCACTGATGCAACGATCCAAATAATCCCAATTTTGATTAAACACTTGACCGAATCCAAAACCTCTTTGAATAATGTATGTAGCTATGGACAAAGGTTTTATTTTTATCCTTTTTAATCCGTGTCTGTGAAAGTTACAAATCTCTACTATAAACTGACTCTATCTCAGAACAGCTGAGAACGTCTGCAGCCTTTGCTTACTTTCAACAGCTGTGAAATTGAATAATTGGAAAAATGCAAAGATCTTTAAAAGGAGTTGTGTTGTTTGAGCAAAATACCTTTTAACATTATTTCTATATAAATACCATAAAACTGAAGAATTTAGCCAAAAAAAAAAACTACTCAGCTAAGCTGAGAGTTAAACATTTTAATCAGTGTTATCTTGTTGATTTTTGGCCCATTTATTAATGGTGATGCTTCACTTGATTATAAATAGACATGAATGCTGTGATGTCATGTCCAAACTATTTGACTGGATGGCGATGTTGGAAAAGTCTGAAAGCCTTCTTTGAGTTTAGAGTTTGTACAGGACTCTGCATTCTTTATGGCAAGGAACACAGGAAGGAAGGAAGCAATGGTTTTTGAGATTACAAACAAGCCAGATTCTATCATCCGCCATCTCTCAGTGTAATCATACATGTTGTCGGTTTACGTCTGCTTCCTTAACCTTTGCTTCTCTCTTTCACTCTTCTCACACACAAAGACTGTGCTTCACCTCCAGCTGTAGTACTTGACATTTTTTTTCATTACCTAATAGACTCCTGACTTACCTTCTTTTGTAGGGAATAGCCTCAAGCTGCAGCTCTTAGCTTGCATCTGATTATCCCCACATCTTTAGCTAAAAACTATGTCAACATGTTTCTTTTATGTCACATGATTTCGTTTTTTTTTTTTTTTTTTTACAAATGACACTCCTGAACCTAATTTACACGACATCCGCTCCATTTCACCCTTCAATGAACTGCACAGTAAAGACTTTAATAATAATGAGAGAATTGACGGTGTCTTGTAAGGCTGCTGCTTACTCAGGAATCACAACAGGAAACCGAACGATCACAGCATATGCATATTTCGACATTATTAACTGCTCACATTAGATCAACTACTGATATACAGATATTAACGTAGGTAATCAAAACCTAACGGCTCAACATTAAATCCACAAATATAAGGTACAACTACACCCTCTCTGTGCTAAGGATACCCACCTATTGTAGAATATAACTTCTACAAATAGTCGAATGCCCAAAAACAAAAAGTTAAGTAGTTTTAAAGTCCATAGATGTTGTTGTAGTTTGACAAAGGTGTGATGTCTGGACACTGCTCAGTGCTGTTGTGGATTAGGGCTGGGCTATTAATTGCATTTGCAATATAATTACATTTTAATAAAACCCAATTTCAAATTGCATAAGCACTCCATTTTTGTCACATTAAAATCAACTAGCTGGCTTCCCAGCTAGTTGACATGGCTTCCCAGAGCAGAGCTGGAGGAGGTGTGCAGGGAGAGGGAAGTCTGGGAGTCTCTGCTGAGACTGCTGCCCCTACGACCGAGTCCCGGGAGAAGCTGGAGATGAAGAAGAGCACGAGTAAAACCCTAAATTTCTCACTCCAGCTCATTACTTGGCAGTAATATTCTTATGGTGGGGTTTTTTGCCACACAGATGGGAAAAGAGAGTTGAAGCTAGCACACAAATCCAGGTTAAAAATAATCTCAACTTGGATCAAATTGTTCAACCCTATTGTTGAAAATGTGAGTAAGAAGTTTGCAGTGCAGTGTAGTGAAGCTGGAGTTCGTTTCAATTGGGAGTAAATTTGGAGAGGAAGTGGACGGCTATTCTAGCAGGTTTTTTGTGCGTTATCTGTGCGTGTTGTTGTATTAATGATTGTGTATGTTTATTTTATTTTTTTTCCTCCTGCAGAAAGACCTGGTCGGCCACAAGAATATCGTTGGTTATCTGGACTCCAGTGTCACAGCTATGGGATCCCGAGACGTCTGGGAGGTTCTCATACTGATGGACTACTGCAAGGGTAAAGGGTTATACTTGCATCTTTGATTACTTTGTAACTCTAGATTCAGGTGTTATTTAATATGAGCAATGCTTTGCTTAAGATTGAAAAGCATTTAGCTTTTTCATTTTTTCAAGTATTTGTTGGGTTATGTGGCAAACTAAGTGAAACAAAAATCTTATAAGGTTCCTAAAATCATTCCAAAATCATTCTTGTAGACACTATTATTCTTTTTGCAGGTCTTTAGGGAAATGTCTCTACCAGGTTTGGATATCTAGATCTAAAATTAGTGAAACATCTTCATTACATAGTAGCTCAGTCTCAGTCAGATCAGATAAAAAAAAAAGCATCTTTGAACAATAATCTTGAAGATTCTAAAATTGGTTTTGGGGCTGGACTCTGAGTAGGTCATTCTACTCCATGAAAATGCTCTAAATGTAAATATGGGAAGGAGTATGCTTTTGATTAACCTTATTTAACTGTAAGTCTGCTTGTATGTTTACCGTTGTCACACTGCAGCACAACGCTGCCACCACTATTGGTAGTGTTATGTTCAGAATTGATGGGTAGTGTTTGTGTTGAAGGTACCTTAGCACCTTTTATCCACCTGTCTTCTGTACTCTAAATCAGCGGTCCCCAACCTTTTTTGCGCCACGGACCGGTAATATGTCAGACAGTTTTTTTTACGGACTGGCCTTTAAAGTGTGGGGGGGATAAATACGATTAAATAAAATGATACGACTGGCATAAAATTAAATACAAACTGCATAAAAATAAAACTCAGTTATGTTGAATTAGTGGGAGCCCTGAGCTTGTTTCTCCGAAACAAGCCGGTCCCATCTAGGCATAATCGGAGACAATGACACATTAAGTGTGCTCCTGATGTCCAGTCTGCTCCGTAGCTTTGTTTTGGTCGCTGTAACCGCAGAAAATCCCGCTTCACAAAGATAGGATGTTATAGATAGGATGCGTCTTGACCTGGTTTTGTACTGGGAAATCCATAATCGGAAAACAAAAATTTTCCTGATTTTCAGATAAAATCAGCGTGGATGTGGTACAATACAAAAACATATTCATATAATCGCATCTCTGGACACTTCCAATAAATCTCCCTCTTTATTATTGGTATTAATATATGCATGATATTTTGGCAATAAACCTGCTCTTAAACCACAAGGCAGCTATGACGAGGACAACAACACAACAGCTGAGGTACGCAGCTAAGTTGTAAACAGTACCACTCTTGACCAGGAAGTGGGAGGTTTGAGGTATTCCATCAGATCTTTATGGCTTTTTATTTTAATGCAATTTATTTGCATAATGACAATGAACTCTGGAATAGGGAAAATAACCATAAATACAATACTTCTGACCAAAATAAATGCTGCGAAGTCTCTAAATGTTGAAAAACAAAACCGAAAGGGGAGAGGGGCTGAATCAGGAAAGGACAGGGAAACTACTTCAAGGCACTATTGTGTCAGTATGGATGTAGCCAAAACAAACAGATTTTAATTAGAAAGCCTGAACAATTGTTATCTACATCATTAAATGCTGTTTTCAGGGGGGCAGGTGGTGAATCTGATGAATCAGAGACTTCAGACTGGCTTCACGGAGTCCGAGGTGCTTCAGATCTTCTGTGACACCTGTGATGCAGTATCTCGCCTGCATCAACGAAAGGCACCCATCGTCCACAGAGACCTCAAGGTGACGCCTTTAGACACTTTTAGTTTTTTTCTGACATGTCGACGTTGTTTTTATTTTAAGCTTTATAATTATTTTAACACAGACTTGGTTTCCCGTTGATTAAGCCCTAAAGGAAACACTGCTGGCAAGGTGAAGTCTTAAATACAGTGAATCTGAGCTCTGTGGACTTTAATGTGTAAATGGCTTGTAATGTACAACTCTGTACTACATACAGAGATGTACCTAGAGAGATGACATCCAATGTAATTGTGATCAGCTACCATTAGCAGCTCCTTCTATGCATCACCCTGCTGAAACATCCTTTGAAAAGCAATGATAAGTCTGTTGGTGTGAGAGGAAACTTCCTTTAATTATTCATTGGTCTAAGAGCAGATGAGAATAACTTTTAAGCGAGCTTGAAGTAACTTCACCTGCTGCCCATAGAGCCATGAAGCTGTATTGATTTTAAGTCCTCTCTCAGATATTTTGACATAAACTGAGACGCATCATTTTTGCAGCTGAGGTTTGTTCCAATTAATCGTGGAAGGTTTGTTATTTATCATTGCTTTGCAGTAATAAAAGTATTAGATTTTCATTCAGTATCTCTCAGCTTTGGGGGCTTTTAAATCTACCTAATGTTATCTCTAATGCACTTCTTGCAAAGATTAAATTCTGTTTTGTGGATCTCTGTTTAGAAAAACCCAAACTGTCCATGCATCTACAGGTGGAGAACATCTTGTTGCATGACAAAGGTCATTACGTGCTGTGTGACTTTGGCAGTGCCACCAACAAGTTCCAAAACCCACAGACCGAAGGGGTGGCAGCTGTAGAGGAAGAAATCAAAAAGTTTGTGCCTTTTAACATTTTAAATGTTTTATTTTTTATTATCTCTTCTTGTAAGTTATGTTGACTTATTTTAGTTAATGATTTTTACAGAGACTACACTAATTTATTGATTTCTGAAGGCATTAGATGGGATTTCATGTCAGGGTATAAAAATGTGCTGGTAAAGATGCAAACCTATATTTATATTTTTTTTCATTTCCTCCCTATATACAGTTATATGCTAAAGCTGCTTTCACACCAAACGCAGCAGGAGCAGCAGAAACAGCTAGTTTAAATGCAAAGTCAATGGTTGATGGGCGTCAAGACGCAGCAAAATGTCCTGCAGTGAGTTTTGAGCAGCAGACGCAGAGTGTCTGAGCAGCTTTTGCTGCTTGATGCGCCGCATCAACCAATCAGAGAAGCTGATCTAGGAGCTGGCAGGGAGACAAACACATCTAAATCAACTTAAAATGCAAAACATGTTCGCTTTTATTATCCTGGTGCCTGCAGTTTGGATTACAGACATGAAAACCGCTTTCCAGCCGCCGATGCAAACCGCAAGGAGGCGACCGGACCATAGGCTGCTGTTGAATAGGATTCCTACTGAAAGCGCACTGAGCGGCTCCGACAGAAATAGTATTGATGGTAATCTGGATGAACTGACTGCACAGATTAGGTTTTCAGGTGGATTCTCCCACTTAAAAACATATTAAAACTACTTTATTCCCACTGATCACAGCAAATATAGCTGCCAGGCAAGGAAAGGATAGGGTAGCTCTGCCCAATGCGCGTCAGGCCCACTTTTCCACCACGCAGCCAGAGCAGCAAAGCTGCTTCAGCCGCGTGTCAGAACTAAACTGGTACAAGCAGCAAAAAGGAAGCAGCAGACGCGTTTTTGCTGCTCCTTCTGCATTTGGTGTGAACGCAGCTTAAGTGTTGTTTAAGTATATAAAATCCCAGTTAAAAACATTAAAGTTTGTTGTTATACTGTGACAAAATACAGGCATACTTTCCTTTAACTTGTTCCTGCATGGCTGCTTTTTTTTATTGCAATTTAATAACATTGTCATGATTATTTCGTATGTTTCTTTTTTAAAACTCTCCTCAGGTACACCACACTATCATATCGAGCTCCAGAAATGGTGAACCTCTACAACAATAAGATCATAACCACAAAGGCGGATATCTGGGTGAGCAGAGATGAACGTCCTCTGTGGTGTTAGCACCTTGATCACTGTCCTGTTAAATTGCGTTATGTTCAGTTATAAATGAATCCATAAAATCGACAACTTAGTCATGTTGATTGGGTCTAATTGTGTTGAATAATTTAGGAATCTTTTTTGCGCTTCTGGTTTTGGAATTATGTTTCTGGACTTAATTCCCTCTGTTCTGTCCCTGGGTGTGCATGTGGTTTTTTTTTTTATTTCTCCAGGCGCTGGGCTGTTTGCTCTACAAGTTGTGCTTCTTCACCCTCCCCTTTGGTGAAAGCCAGGTGGCCATCTGTGATGGCAGTTTCACTATTCCAGATAACTCTCGCTACTCTTACGATCTTCATTGCCTCATTCGTTAGTACCTGTCAAATGATATCCACTGCTCTTAGTCCAGAGTTTTTGGTTTTATTTCCTTCTTTTTTTATTGTATTTTGATTTTTTTTTTACACATTTTTTTTAGGGTATATGCTGGAGCCAGACCCTGACAAAAGACCTGATATTTACCAGGTGTCCTACTTTGCTTTTAAACTAGCTCAGCGAACCTGCCCTGTTCAGAATGTGAAGGTCAGTCTCTGTCTCTCTCTACAACAAATATTTTGCACAAGTTCTGGAAAGAAATGTCTGAAACGAATAGGTTAGGATTTCTATAGTATTTTGTTAAAAGTTTTTAGCAGTTATGATCTTACCAGTTGGTTCTGGAGGCTGGAGCCAGCGACCGAAGCAGAATTTAAAAATTATTGTAAAAGGTTTCTAATCTCAAAATCATCTTTGCAATATACAATTACCCCGTTTTTTTGAATTTTTAAAATATCCTCAGGTTTACATTATTATTTAGTTCTACACTTGTGTAACTCATTATTTATACAGGAAGTGAAGGTAGAGGGCAGTATGCCATCAGTGATCTTTCACTGAAAATACAGCATGTAAGCAATTTTTATCACATTCACTGCTTGATTTAAAAGTAAGGTGAATGCTATCTTTTTTTACACTGCTTAAGTTTGTTAACTCTTTTAGTTAACTAGAAAGTCGAATACATTATCAGTTATTTATCAACAGTTTATCATTCTCATGTGTCTAACTCTGATTTATAATCTTTAACTTAGTGTGAGTGAGGAAAGGACAAACAAGGACAGCAAACAAAGGGTTCAGAACCAGCTTTAATCTTCCAGCTTTTAAAACCAGAATAGCCTCAACAGAACTACAGAGTTCCTTATGATATTCCAAAGCCAGCTTCTTATCTCTGCTCCCATGGCTCCCTCTGTCGACTGGAGCGCAGTCTCTGCTAAACAGTTTTGTTTGCCTGGAAAGTCACTCTGACTGGCACAGTGTCTGCTCTTTTGCAGGCGTTGGATCTCTGGAGGATCCTCATCTTTGGAGCAGAGTGTGATACTTACCCTAGTAAAAAAAAACGCTATGCGACACGGCACATATTCAAGACCTGGATGATGAAAAAGCATCTTGTAGGATCTTTAGATTAAATAGATAAATGTAAAGTAGCATTTGGTTTAAGCTAATTTTGGAGACTGGATCTGCAAACCAGTCCTCTCACTAACCTCAGCAGGCTAAATCCTCTTAATAGATATTAGTATCTTCAGTCCTCAGACTCAGCAGCTCCTCTGGAACTTATGCATCCAGGAGAGGATTTATTATGAAGGACCGTTCAGCAAATGGCAGGAAGAATTTGGTCAATATGATCTATACTGTGTTAAAGAGCCAGTAAATATATATATTCTACTAGTTTTGAAACCACTTCAGTTTATTAAAAAAACCTTTACTCGCTCAAAAAATGTCAAAAAGCCAGACACAACAAGTATTTACATTTAGTGTCACCACATCAATGGCAAACGGTATTCAAACTTACAAATAATGGATTAGTCTAAAGCTTGTTTGACTTTTTAAATCAGTTACATTTAATTATCAGCTTTACTTAAACATGTCTGGGTTAATCTTAAGCTGTGCCTTTTGGCTTTCACATTAACTAATTAACTAAAACACCCGATGAGTTCACGAAGACAGGCAACATGAAAATCTCTGGTCCCTACCTGCCTAAAGTATTTTAACATAAAAGTAGACCCATCAATTAAAGTTAGCTGAATAAAGCAAGTATTTATTTATTGTTACTAGGGACAGATTTATATATTATTAATTGTAATCCTTTCTTTCTAAGAAGACATGTCAAGACCCTTTTTTTAGGTTGTGGCTTTCGAGTCATCCAGTGATCCTGTTATCTGCTTATTTGAGGCTAATTTGCTCATGTAAAAAAAAAAAAAAATGTATAAATAGAATTTTTTTTCATATACATATTCTTGTACTTTCACTTTGGCTATTTTAACCATTTTACAGAAAGAATGGACAAGGTTTCCATAAAACACTGTTTTCATACAACCCAAGCCATCAGATCTTGATTTATACTATGAACCTTTTACTAAAATCTAGCTTCAAAAGTCTTCAATGAATGGCAATAGCCTTTATTTTTCTTGGTTTCATTATGTAAGTTCTGTCCAGATTTCCTTGACAAGATTTGATTTTTCCTCCATAAACTAGAATTCTTCAATCCCTTCCACACTTCCTGAGCCAATCAAAGCGAGCGAAGCTGCTGCAGCGAAGAAGAGCCAGACTAAGTCCAGGCAAGCATGACCTCATTACTTTGTAATACCCTTAAAGCTGTAGTGACACCACGTTTTGTGGAACTAATTACTCCCAGTTAATACATATCCTGATACTCATTATACAATTATGTTAACTGTGTTTTGCATGATTAATTTAAAGAGAATTATGCTTCTTTTTTTTCATCAGACTCACAGATCCAATTCCCACCACTGAAACCTCCATCACGCCTCGTCAGAGGCCCAAAGCCGTTCACACCCAGGCGGCCTCTGGGATCCTTCCCATTCAGCCTGCTGCTCTCACCCCTCGCAAGCGGGCTAATCTCTCTGGGGCTGCAGCTCAGCCTGTGGGTACGTGCTTTACTCCGCCGTTATTTTTTTTAATTATTATTATGACAAGAAACATTTTCTATCAAAATTTATCTAGATGCATGAATCCTCCAACATCAGTTTAAAAAAGTTATGTGCTGTGGTTCTTAATAGGAACAGATGAAGTGTTTACAGGGATGCATTTAAAAGTATAAAGCAAACATCCACTGCAATTATTCTCTGCTTCTTTTTGTAATCTCTGTTTCTGCTTCAGCTGATATCAGATTCGAGTTATAAGGTGTTGACTGATCATTTGATTCTCCTTTAGAGATTTCCATTACTATGAATGTGAATATTTCAGTATTTGCAGCTTCATGTGAAACTGTACAATTGTGCATGATGGAAAATGATCTTGATGCTGTTGAGTGATGTGCTGTGTATCCATTTTGCAGGAGTCAGTTTAAACCTCTCCCGACCAGCTGCAGCTCTCCAGTCCCAGAAGGCACAGACGTCAGCTCAGCCCTTCATTCAAACACAAACCAGCTCAAGTCAGGCTGCAGTGCTGCAGAAGCAGGTACAAGTGCAGTCCTGAATTTCAATCCTGAAAATCCAAATTTTGTTTTCCTATTGTGAGAAAAAACAGTTGGAAATAATAAATCGTCTTCATCATTTTATAGGGATTATGTAGATATGTTGTTTCTTGAATATACCAGGCCTGATTGTTTCTTCTTGAGTGAAACCAAATTGTGTGCCTTGTATTTGTGCATCAGAGTGTTCAGCCAGCTGCAGCTGCTGGAGCAGAGACCACAGCATCGCAAGTGGCCAGGGCAGACGCTGCAGCAGCAGCACAGCCAACATCCGAGCAACAGGCCTCTCCGTCTGTGGTCAGCTCTGCTCCCACACAGAAAGCACTGACTCCGCCCAGCCCGGCGGCGCCTCAGCGCCCAGCTCGTCGAAAACAGCCAGCTCAGGCTCAGCAGCCAGTGGTTCCACCTTCGCCGAGCAAACCGACACCAGGGCAACCAGCAGCAGCTCAGCCGCAGGAGAAACCAGCTCCAACTGAATCCGTTCCCACTGAGACCAGTCAAAAAACAGCTCAGACTGTAATTTACCTCTATCCTTTAAAGCTGATGGACTTTACATATTCATCATACATTACATTTGCTGACATTTGATAGTATAGTTATTTTTAATTTATTATTTTTTTTACCAGACTCCACCTGCGACATCTGAGGACCGAGATGACAAACGTTTGCCGAGCGACGCAGCAGCAAATGTTGCTGCAGCCCCAGTCATTGACTCTACACAGCCACTGCAAGGAGCTAATGGAGGCGATGCAGTCAGTCAGTAAGTGCCATTTTAATGAAATAAAGGTTTCAAAGCCTCATTCAGTTAAATTCAATATATTTATTTAGCACCAATTCACGAGAAATGTAATTTCAAGGCACTTTACAGAGTCAAGAATCGAATCATGCAGACAGACTGGATAAAAAATGTTCCATCTAAACCTGGTACTGTGTGACCAAGCATAAGGAGCAGGTTCCTGTTGTTGTTGTTGTTGTGTGCAGTTCTCTAACACACAATTGAAACCCCTGTTTATTTGGAGAATTACTGTTAACTAATGTACCTGTCACTTAAACCATCTAGTTCCAAAGATAACATAAAACAATTACCAGAGATCATCTATTGTATTTATTAATGTTGCACCATTTAAGGATATTAACAGACTTTCCGACAGTACAGAATGTATTATCTTTAAGTGTGTATTAAGAGGCATTCCTGAACCCATCAAATATTTGAGCAAACACCTATCTCTATACTTTTTTATAATTAGTGTAAAATGCAAACATAGTTTATACAATATCTGTCCTAACTTCTACAGTATTCTTCATATATACATATGAGGAAAAAACTAGTGTAATGCACAAATTGAAATTTAAGTATAAAATTTTCCTACAAAATCATTTTAGAAACTAGGAATGTCCTGATCTGATATTAGTAGAAATTGATCTAATATCAGCCAAAAAAAAGTGAAATATCAATTAATGGCCTACATATAAACCTCTGGTATAAGCATGCTGATAGAAACAGTTCCTCTACCCACACCTGTTTAAAGTTTATGGAACCTCTAGTTAATAATTAACAGCTGTTCTCACAACTATTGTTTTAAATTATTGTTTCAGTAATATAATTTAATCAAACCTTTTTATAATATGTCACACTACAAAATAAGCTTTTAGCCTTTCACACAAACCTCCGCAGACTGTGCTCACACTGTTAGCTGTACAGCGTCTGCATAGACATTTCGGCCCTCATGGTTGATCATTACTATTCCTGTTTCTCATGACAAATGCCATCAACTCCCACACTGTCATGGAATCATTTGACGAGTTCGACTTCTAGCTTTACAAAAATCAAAGAAACAAAGTCTAGCTGGGTGCTTTGCATTGTTTCCTCTCTACAAGAGCACCAGCCGCACACCTGTCGGGGCGATAAATAAAGAGGCTGAGATGCTGTGGGTCTTTAAGACTGGCTGCTCTGAGCAATGATTCACTGCCAGCTATTGTTCATGTGACATTTAAAATGGTTCAGTATGAATATTTTTTGATTTCTTGTTGAATACTATGAACACTGGAGAGCTACATTCCAGCCGAGCAGCTAAGTGAGACACCTCCTATGCAGTCGTGAAAAGTTTGGTCTGTGCAAACCTATCCATGCAGATACCAACTTTAGTTGAGTTGAGACATTCACAAATACCTGTTTGCACATGGAGCAAAATGGGCAGAAACTATATATACATCTGTTTTTAGATTTTTTTATTTATTTTTTATTTTTTTCTTATAGATCACCTGCATCTCAACAAAACACAGTTGACCCTGTTCAGCCGAGCGTTTGCGATCCAACAAAGGACCAAAACAAAGTTACAACCCCTGGTTCTACATCTGGTTCCAACAACATCTCCTCAAAGCCAGCTTGGAACCCGTTTGACGACGACAGCTTCTCCAAATTCACAGCTGAGGAATTCAAAACTGATGACAAAAATACTGCAGGTAGAATTTATACATGGAGTTTGGTTCAGATGCTACAGATGCTGATGCTATACAGGACTGATTTGAGATTGGAACTGAAAGACGGCATTGTATCATTAAAGGAATAGTACACCCAAAACATGATTAGCCTTCATTTTCTACTCACCCCCATGCCGAACAACACTCTGGAGTACTTTTTTGATATCTCAAATGCATCTGGAGATCTGGGAGGCTTCTTGCTGTCTGATGACATTCAAATAATGGAGGTCTGTGGCGCCTGAGGCAGAAAGGTATAGGATTTCCTAAAAGCGCGTTCACGAGTCTACGGAAACCGCGGCAGACCAAACCAGACGAAAGTGCACATTCAGCGTCTGCTCTGCCGATAATGCAAGCGTAGAAGAAGAAATGTGCTGTTTACCTGTGCAAAGAAAGAAACAACGAAAGAAAAATGTCTGAGGACTTCAGTGTTGAGGAAGAGCATGAGTTCTTTGCCGAGCTGAATGCGCACTTTCGTCTGGTTTGGTCTGCCGCGGTTTCCGTAGACTCGTGAACGCGCTTTTAGGAAATCCTATACACTACTGTTTATGCTCTAAAAACATTCTAAATGACTTTGTTTCGAGTAAATTATGGACGCTACCCACTCAGGACACTTGGAATACATTGGACGAGCAGTATGGAGGAATATTGACACGTTTTTTTGTGGACTTTTATGGACCTTTCTGCCTCGGGCACCATAGACCTCCATTATTTGAATGTCAGCAGACAGCAAGAAGCCTCCCAGATCTCCAGATGCATTTGAGATATCAAAAAAGTACTCCAGAGTGTTGTTCAGCATGGGGGTGAGTAGAAAATGAAGGCTAATCATGTTTTGGGTGTACTATTCCTTTAAGGTTAAATTCTTTTTAGTTTTACTTTAACAAAACGATTAAATTCATATTTTCTTTCTTTAATGACAGATATGCCATCAGAGACTGAGACAGCCTCCTCTGAAGAGCTGATTCCAGGTCTGCAGACCGCCTCTTTGGAAAACACTCCTCAAGGGACTGGTATTTACAAACTCCAGTATTTTCTACTTGCTTATAATTTTGGACCTGCACCCGTCAGATCCTTCACTGCTTTGAAATTGTGTTTTGATGTAAAGTGACAGTCCAGAGATGAGAACTTGAAACGTCTCCATCAATGGTGTAACGACACAACAATAGGCCCATAAGCAACATTGTCTGGGTGGGCCCCATATGAAGTACAACACGTGATAAAGGTTTAGGATACGGCGACAGTTCCATCAATAGGCCAGGAAGATACAATTATGCAATTCTCAGTAGTATATGATCACACATCACACACGGAAAAATAGTGACTAGGCACCTTGAATGGAACCATTTGTGACAGCGCACCACCACATGTTACAGACATCCCAAGTAACAAAAACTGATTGATTTCTGGAATCCGCTTAAGTACCTCTTTTTTTTTTGTATCCATCGTCGCTAACTAGGGGTGGATATTGCCAAAGAAGTCACGATTCGATTCGAATCACGATTCACAGGCCACGATGCGATTCTATCACGATGCATCACGATACTTGAATTATTGCGATGCATTGCAATATTTTCTCCTCCATGTTTTGTTTTTGAATGACTCGGCACAGTATCCCGCTGCCGGAAATGCTTGTGACACAAGGCAGCGTGCGTCAACATATTTGCAGCAACATCTACTGGACTGGAAGTTGTATTACACTTGTTTTTGGCTGATGTTTGCCAACCATTCATGCAATTTTATTTATTCATTTTTTTAAATTAATAATCGATACTTGGTGTCAAGAATCGATGCAATAGATCACGAAAATTAGAATCACAATGCATCATCATGACGATTATTTTGCACACCCCTATCGCTAACCAGTGTTGGGCAAGCTACTTGTCCAGTGTAGTGAGCTAAGCTATCAGTTACTTAACAATAAATTAAGCTTCACTACACCAAAGCTACCACCTAAAGAATTATAGCAAGCTAAGTTACACAAATGTGTTAAAAGTAGCTTAACTACATCAGAAGCTACTTAACGTTGTACCAACCTAATATCAATTCAAAATGAGTCTGATACACTAGTTAAAACATTTATTAAAGATCAGCCAATGACATAACACAGTGTAAACATTGCTTTATGATCAGCACATTAAAATAAAAACTGAAGTAATTACTTATAGACAAACTAGTAAACAATCTGATGTTATTAGAACCAAATTAAAGGTATTGTGTATTGTTCTACACATCGAGACATGGCTATGAGTTTGCATTAAATGGTTATCTCTAGGGAAAACAAAACCCTACAAAAGGCATCTTATTTCTTTAGGGTCTCCCTTAGAGAAAACTTCTTCAGACCTCAATTAAACAGTCGATTCAAGTTACAAATGAAACTGTTTACAAAAAAGGTGAAAAAATAAAGAAGCTAATTAAGTGATACATATATTTATGCCTCACCATATAATTTAATTTCTACCTACATATTTATTCATTGTATTTTTGGGGGCAATTAATTGAATGCTTATTTATTTATTTATTGAGCATTTATTTATTTATGTATTTATTTTATATACGGTAGATCTGTTCCTCCATAAATAAAAAAAAATCTTATCTGTGCAAAGCCTAAAAACAGATTTATGCAAACATCCTGTCAGGTAAACTAGGCCATGAAAATACAATATGGAAGTTTCACTACTGCTCTCTAATTAGAGTATCTTAGTGGCACATATGGAAGAATTATCCTGCCATAATGCAAGAGCACATCATTTCAATTTGGGAAAAGAATTTCATCTTCTTGCACTCAAAACTTATAATGCTCACACTCAAAACATGCGCTCTCTCTCAAATATTTTCTCTTCTCTCTTTGTTTCTTCTCTCAGATTTAATGCTTCTTGCACAGATATTTTCTCCTCTCGCTTGCCTCCTTCTCTTTGCGCACAATCCGCGCTCTGCACGAGTCACAGATACGCTCGCAAACCCGTAGGCTCTGCTTGCGGATTTTTTTTTCCTCTCGGACTGCAGTTGGATCGTCGCCTAGCAACCATTCCAGCCAATAGAACGACAGCCTCGGAAAGGGTGCGCTTGTTTAACCCTACTGAGTGTGCCTGTGCTACTACGCCACTTATAAGACCGTCAGCTGAAACTGCTATTTACAGTAGCTTGTGGCTGATTGTTGTTTCAAAATAGAAAACCTGGATTAATTTCTTAGTTATGCCCTGGATTTTGTAGCGTTTGTGGACGCTACGTCGCTACTTGATCAAAACAATAACGTCGCTACAGGAAAGTTACTTCATAAATAAAGCAGCGACGCTACAGTCAAGCTACTGGAAAATGTAGTTAAACTAATAGCTTCGCTACATGTAGCGGCGCTACTGCCCATCACTGTCGCTAACACATTGTACGTAACTGTTATGGTTTTAATCTTCGCTCTGGATTATCCATAATTCCAAGTTGTAGTGTAAAAAATAAAATACACAAATACATTGTTCTTTTAATATCTTTATTGCAGTTTGAAACTGTCTGCTTTGCTATTGGTGTCGTGTTTAAACGGCTCACCATCATGTTGAAATCTGGCATGTGTTGCGGTATAAATACGGTCCGGTGAGGTCAGTCTCTTTAGTATCAGGTGGGTTTAAGAAGAATTTTTCGCACCATTACATTTTCAAAGAGACGTCCTAGTATACAATTGTGTAGGGGGCCTACGCAATTGTAAATCAGGTTTCAGTGATAGGGCCCCTAAGAGGTCGTGGGCCTGTAAGCAATTGCTGTCTCTGCTTACAGTACTCATATTCACGCTATTGGTCTCCAGCTAAAAGTGCTAAACAAAACTGTAGGGTTCACTTGGAAAAAGACCTTTTAGCCCTGAATCATGATGGCAACTATCCTGCAACAATTAGGGCCGGATTTATCAAGATCCAATTTTGCGTGCAGTAATTTGCGCTCGCAAACTGGAATTTTGCGCGAGGGGCTGAACCATGGTTTGCGGGTGATTTAACAAGAGCGATTGCGTAACTGGTGGCAGGTGCAAAACTGTTGGAGATGCCCTATTTAATTGATGGTTTTGCGCGTTTTGTGGTTTGCGGCATGGCGAGTTAGGACAGCAGAAAGCGCAAAAGGAAATTCGACCCCATGGAAATGGAGGTGTTGGTGGATGAAGCCAACAAACATTTAAGTGAGCTACAGCAAAGAAGTGTGACTGTCACACAGAGGAACGCTATATGTGAACAAATCTGTAATAAAGTAAACGCTGTCGGTGAAACCTTGCGAACAGTGGATGAAGTAAAAAGAAGATACCAGGATATTAGAAGGCGAACCAAAGAAAAACTGGCATATAACAAAACATCTGCGAACAAACAGGAGGGGGCACAGTAGATAAGATGCCTCTGACCAGCATTGAGGAACAAGTACAGCTGACGCTCTGTGAGGAGCAAATCACTGGAATTGCAGCTTCAAAATGGCAATGCTGGATAAACGATATGTTTTGATGATCATTTCCTCCTTCATTCCAAAAATATTCACACGGAGTGAAAAAATGCGTTCTCTGCGTCTCCTTGCTTCATTTCGATGTCTCCTTCTTGCGACTATAACCGCTGCCATGTGTGCGCAATTACGCAAGCAGACCATTTGCACCTTCTTTTGAAACGTGTTAAATATAGAGTCAGATACCATTAGCAAAATTGCTTTCAGGTTTAATAAATCACTTTGCGAGTGCTAAATTAATATATTTACATGTTCTTCTCCCACAAGATGCACTTTTGCATGTAAACGCCCCATATTGCATATTCATAGCAGAAAAAGTACTAAATGGATAAGAGGCGCTATTTAGCACGTTTTAAAGACCAAATCCTTTTAGCACGCTGTTGATAGATCAGTTTGCACATTTTTTAGAGTGCGCAGTGAAATAGCTCACGTTTTTATACACGCAAACCTTTGATAGATCCGGCCCTTTGTTGTCACAAAATTTAAATGTGCTTATACAAGTCAAATCAAATAAAAATAATATTTATCTTTTAAGGTCAGCTGAAATTAAAATTCTAATGTTAGACAAATCTTTGTTGTCAAAAGACTGCAAATATTTTTTATTCAAAATCTCCAGTTCATAAAAAAAACTCACGTCTAACTAAAACTACTAAAATTAAGACATTTTATAGCCTGAGAGCTAGTTAGAAACATCTCAGATGAGTTTCTAAAGGTTCTGGAGCAGGTACATGGGACATCACTCCTACGTAGTAAACTTTATGTTTATTATGATATCTTAAATTAGATTTGTCACTTATTGACTGTTTGTGTGCGTCACAGAAAATTTTCCATTTTAAATACATTTTTGTCATAATGAACCCTGCTTGGTGTCTCCTGTAAATAAATAAATAATTTTTTAAGAATGAATAAAAACGTTTGGTTATCTAACATAACCCCAGTTCTTAGAATAATATGAGCGAGGTGTCTCGCTATGGGATGCAGCCTCCTGCAGCCCTGATAGAAGCATCTATATCAATCTGCCAATCCTGATTGGCCGGTGGAAGTGCCCGTCATACACCACGCCCCGTAGCTCCGACTACTAAAGCGTGTGCGGATCACGGGACTCCAATTCAACAAGCAACCCTCTTCTCGCCGCCCTGCAAGAAGGGTCGTCTGGCGAGACACCTCGCTCATATTATTCTAAGAACTGGGGTTATGTTAGATAACCAAACGTTCTTTTTCATAATATTCACTCGGTGTCTCGCTATGGGATATGGTAGCCCCCGTATTGCCAGACAGCTTATCGAACAAGAACCGGCCGATGGGGAAGGTCCACAAGGTCAGTTATGACTCTAGGACCGCACTGGCCACGCACGGTCCAGACACGTCAAGCATGTAGAACCGGACAAAAGTCAGAGGCGAAGACCAATTCGCCGCTGAACAAATGTCCTGAACGGACACTCCACGAAACAAAGCCCAGGACGCAGCCATCCCGCGGGTAGAGTGTGCACGCAGACCCGCCGGGGGCTGCAGACCCCTGCTTCCATACGCCAAAGCTATAGCCTCCACC